TCCCGCCGCTCGCTGGGACAGGAACGCGGCTCGGTCAGCGGGAGCGTCTGTGGAGGATGTGCCCTTCACCCAGCGCTGCCGTGCCGCTGCTCCCTCAGCCACACACCCATTAAGCCCCGTTCGGCAATTTAATCCCGTACCCAAAGGGACTCCGGTGTGTGAAACCGGAGCGGCTCAGCCCAGTTGCCACGGAGATTCCTCCCCTTAGGGCCTGAGCTGGGAAGGGAGTTCACTGTGAGGACACTGTAGAACACAGCTCCACTTGTCGTTATGGGACATGCAAAATAGAAGCTGGGTGGTGCATGTTTGTTTTCCCCACGAAGATGTTGCACAAAATATTTGCAAGCCTTAAAAATCATTTCACAGTGATGGCAGGACAGTGTTGGCAGTTCTGAGTTTGTAATTTGTACGTGCGTGTGAAACACAACTTAAGTTTTCTACCTCCTGCAATGAATGGGGTGGAAAAGTTGGCATAGATTGTACTAACATGTTTTCTGTGGAGGGTGACAGCCAGCAGGCTCCAGGCAAAGGTGTGTCAGAGGTATCCTTGGCCTTTTTCCAAAGAGCCAGAATTACTCCTCAAAGCCCTGGGGTCTGCAGCAGGCCATGCTATGAGGAGGGTAAAAAGCTACTTGGCTCCCACAGAAATCAGAATTACAAGAGCCCTTAGTAAAAGTAGCACTGGGAAAAACTATGCAAAGAAACTTGGTATTACTGAGATCAAAGAAATKAATCAAAGTCTGTACTAGTACAGAGAAAAKCACTGCACTAACAYGGTTGTGATGCCTTAGGATTTTTRGTTTCTATATTTTCATGCATCTCTATTCTTGTACTTCTCTAGTACAACACTAAAACTACCATTCTCCCATCTTCAGACAAAACAATCCCTCTCTGAGCATGAATCCAAGGACACCTCGCTGCCTCAGAGCCCCAAAATATGCAAACAACAGSAAGCTGTGGGGGGAGCAAGTTTGGGGTGGTTGACATCATGACCTGAAGATCACTGGAGAATTAAGGCCCAATATGTTAATAAGGYAGAACTTATAAAAGGTGAAGRTCTCGTGACTTGGTGCCCATTTTGGGTGTAGCCTGAGGAGGAGGCTTTTGTCTGCCCTAATGTACCAGTGGGCCTGTATTAAAGTTTCTATTCTCATTCTCTTAAGTTTGTCTGGCCTCTGTTTCCGGTGAGCCTAATGGATAAGGCATCAGCTGCATAGTTGAAGAGCCACCCAAACTGGATACCTTGTTTTCACAACAATGGGAGATACTTACACAGAAATGCTTGAGGCACAGGGAAAAAAATATAGCATAGAAATAAGACAGTGCACATTTTATTGACAGGTCACATTTTCATCAGTTAACTAAGGTAAAATSAGCAACTCCAGCCAGACAAATCCACTTAATTCATAAAAGTAGTCTTATTTAAGGTGTAACAAATTTTTCCTGGTAAGATGGTCTGATTGACTGAAGCATATCCAGCTATTCATTTTTTCTTACTGCACCAATAATTAGATTTTTTTTTTTTTTAATGAAAACCTTTGGTAAAGTACAAACACAGTTTYAAGACGAACAGGATCAATGTTCTATTCTTACTGTGCTGGGAAAAATAAGTGCAGCTCTATAGCTGCTTTGATACCTAGAAAAGTCTTAATTAGAGTAAGTGAAAGAATTTTAAAATAACCTCTTAAAGCAAATCTAAAAGAAATAAACTAAGTTCAATGTCCCAAAGATATTTAACGATGAGCAGAAGACTGGTTGTTCCACAGGTATTCTAAATTAGTGACAACGAATTAGTCCGCACATCCTTTTTCCAGCCATTACAGATTCCAAAAYGGAATGCAATTTKTCCAAACCAAGACTCCTGATTTTCATATTCATACAATATTTAAGAAATGTCTATTCCACCATATAAAAAAAAAAGCTTTAATGTACTACAAAGTTAAAAACAAAGAGCAAATGACACAAGCTAAAAGTAGAAAAATACATTTTAAAACATTTGTATTTTGTTCCTTACACTGATCAAGATATAACAAAATATTTCAGATTAGACCACTTTTGTAAAACTCATGGCATTTCCAGAAGCAGACAGGTACTGACTCAACAGTCACTGGTCACCCRCTAGTCAGCTGGCCACCCGGTAGAGGTGCTTGACCTTCAAATATCCAGTATATTTTAAATTTCTAGAAGTCCTGTGTAGACATTAAGCTTTATTACTAGAGGAGTCAAAAMATAACAGAACTATTCTAAGTTAGGCTTGAGAGTCAGTCAGCACCCCTCCCCTCTGCAGGGCAATCTCTTGTCAAGGAAAGACCTTGTGGATTCAGGTTGCCCCAAAGGTACACCAAGGACCTGTGTCAGCTCTGAGGCCTGCATGTCTAAAAACTCACACGAACCATGATTTTGAAAAAAAAACAAAACCAGAGATGATGGGGGGAGGAAAAAAAATTACCAAACAAATAAAGGAGGTATTATCTAATAAATACGGTGAGAGAAAACGATMAGGCGGCGGCGCTGCCCCCGCCGGCCGGCAGGTGGCGCCCATCGCCCGGCAGCCGCGGCCACGGCCCGCACCGCCCCTCGGGCGCCGGGAAACACTCGCGTTCGTGTGGATACACATAACACATATCCATCGTTTCCTYTGGAAAATGTGTCTGCAGCAGCTGCCCAGCGCTCTTACCACCGCCATAGGAAACGGCTGCTTTTACACAGCTCGTCTGGATTAGACATAAGGCTGAGAATACGGTGTAAACGAGTCRGCAGAAGGGCTGTATGTGACAGTAGTAGATGGGATGGCTATTAAGAAGCACTCTCCTTAGCTGGTATTAGAAGAAAACCAGGTTCCACTTCAAATAGACATGTCTGTTACTACTAAAATCTAATTCATATACATGCATGTATAAATACATCCACCCATGTATTCAAACCCGAGCATTTAACACTGCCATGGGTAGCCTGTAAGACTACTTAGGTTTATACCAACTAAAACAAATTTGTGTTCTCACTTCAGGGCTGGGATATAAAGCAGGTTTTGCACTCTGGCTTTCTCCTGACAAATTTTGCAGTGCATGACAGGTTTATGTCTATCTCCAGATGCCACGTTTCCTAGAAAGCAATGATTTTCTGCACCCGTGAGGTCTACAAGAGTATCAGCTCCCTGTTTTGTGCACATGTTGCACGAGTCGATTGTCCCAATTGGCACTTAAGACTGTAAGGAGAATTTTAGAAATTGCTACTAAAGTGTAATGACTGTTCCGTCCTCCTCAATGCCTCCTCTGGGGATAACCAGACTGTGTCGAGGATCAGTTTTTAAGGAACTGAGTAATTTGTGGATGTTGCCGTTGCTTTCTCGCCCAGAGTTGTTGTTGAGCACCAGGTCCCTTTGAAGTCTGTGACTAAGGCTGCTGCCATTGATTCGAGAGAGGCTACTGGAAGTAAGGCTGTGCAGTTTAGGAATGTGTTGTGGCTCCAGACCGCCCTCGATGACAATGTCAGCCTCTTCATCACTCTCCATTTCATCAGGGTGGAAGTTCTGCAGCACATGGGATGTAGGCAAGCTATGGTGACTCGCAGTGCTGTCTGTAGACTGGCCAGAGCTACCAGACATCCTACTGCTYCGAATAATATTGTTCCTCTGGTTTGCTGGCTTGACCGTGATAATGAGATTATGGCTGTTGGCAATCATCATGTCTGTGACTTGGTCAAGAGTCTTTCCTGCTACTTCAATGCCATTAACTTCCAGGACTTCRTCATTCACAGCCAGCAAGCCTGTGCTCTCTGCCAAGCCACCAGGAACCATACGGGAGATGAAGATACCAGGAACTTTTTCCAGGCCATGAGGAGTAACCCTTACACTGGTGCCATCGCGAATGTAAAATCCCAAGGGCTTCTCACAC